GGCATCCATATACACGGTGTGTGTATATATACATATGTAGGTATGTGTACATGTATATATGTGCATATATGTACGTGTGTGTGTGTATATGTATATATTCAACATACAGTCAGCCAACAGATTGGTATTTCAGCAGAAGACTCTGCCCAATGTCCCTGGAATGTACACGCTGGAGGCCTCAGGCCTGAGGCTACAGAAGTAACTAAGAAAATATATTTCTTGTCCTCATGAAGATTATAATCTGATTTGTTGAAATTGGCCAATTTCACTGAAGATATAACATGTAAATCAGACCTGAAAGAATGAACATCTTTTAATAGATTGCATGTTTGGTAAAAATGTTAAAGGCACCAAGTTTAAATGTGGTAATGACCTAATTGAAACTTTAAAAAATTATATGGTACTATGCCTCCCTGTTTCAGGGAAATGCTTGGCCAAAGATTAGAAAAGACTCCTTTCTTCTTGTTCAGTCCTAAAAAATTATAATATATAATAATATTTTTGGAAAGCAGTAGATGAAATGTTTACAACTCGCAGTGACAGGTATATGTCAGAATCATTTTTTCAATGAAATCCTTGGCTATCACAAGAGGTCATATATATTACTCACACTGGTTTTTCAGCTGACAGTGAGGTCCCTTTCTTTGAATTGTCCCCATATGTTCAAGCAGTAAAAAACCTCCCTGGCTCCAGTCCAGTCCAGAAGGGGTAAACAAAAAATTGGTTTGTAGACTGCCAAGCTGCGCACAGATAGAACTTCTTCACGGCTTCACGGGTGCGGTGATCTGTCTTCCTGTTTTGTAGGACACCCGTGATAATGCGTCGAATAAGATGTCTTTTCTTCATTTGTGAATGAAGAAATAGGGGGTTTTTTTTTGTAATAGAATATTTTTAACACAGTATCAAGCATGTAGATTTTTCTTTTTTTTTTTTTTTTTGAAAGACGGGGGTCTCCGCCTGTTCCCCCAGCCTGGAGTGCAGTGGCCGGATCTCAGCTCACTGCCAAGCTCCCGCATCCCGGGTTCACGCATTTCCCTCGCTCAGCCTCCCCATAGCTGGGGGGACCACAGGGCTCGCCACTCGCCTGGCTCAGTTTTGGTATTTTTTAGTAGAGATGGGTTTCACCGTGTTAGCCCAGGGGATGGTTCGATCCTCCTGACCTCGTGATCCGCCGTTCGGCCCATCCCAAAGTACTGGAAATTACAGGCTTGAGCCAGCGCAACCTGGCCCTGGAAAAATTTTCATAACATAAGAGCCGAGATGTGACAATTTGTTGAACACTTTAATTCATTTTTCTTTTCCCC